GTACCCATATGCAATCACTATCTCGGCTACGATGCTCATCACATTGTTTACGAATTGAAAAAGACAGAGGTCATCTGAAAGATATCAACGTACGTGCGAGCTTTGCAATACGAATTCAATTGAAAACGAGTTCCATTTTTTATTAGTTTGTAATTTTTATAACCACATTAGATGTCTCTATATCCCACACTACTTCTGCACCCCACCAACTGTAAATAAATTTATCGAATTACTGAAAACTCAAAATGATGTACTTCTACAGCGTTTAGCTGCGTTTGTATTTAATGCTATGAAACTTAGGAGGGAAGCCGCTGAAATATTGTAAATAATTTAAATATTTTGTATTTACTGTTTTGGGCCGATGGCCATGTATCAGTTAATAAAGATTCTACATATATAATGTTTTTTGAAATGATAAAGACGACATGGAAAATCGGAGTCGGAGAAACAACTTGGTTTTTTTCGGTGTGTCCGGTACCGAAACTGAGTCGTGGAATGCATCGGAAATGATTGTAAAGGGTATTATTGGCGAACGTTTAGGAATTAACGATGACATTCCGTTTGATCGCGTACATCGAATTGCAAATGCGCCAGATGTCCGTGGATCGAAACCCATCATTGCACGATTTAGTCACTATAAAGACAGGGAAATGGTTATGTCGAAGGCAAAGAAATTGAAAGGGTCAAATGTGATTGTTGGTGAGGACTTCTCCAAGCGGCTACGAGGTATCCGTGCTAAACTTTTCAGCCATCGTAGTACGCTGGTTGCAGGAAACTCAAAACTAAAAGCATTTTTACGTTATGATAAACTAGTTATAACAGATGAAAATGGAAAGAAATCACGATTCAAAGTTGACGAAGAAACCGGTAAGGTAGTGGAAATTATCCCATAGAGGCGTGGCCAAAGCCCAAAACAAATCGTTGACAAGTGTGTCCATGTTAGCAATAGTATCTCATTTTTAGTATGGAATATCAGAGGTCTTAGAAGTAAATTATGTAATACTGAGTTTATATCATTTTGCCAATCTGCCGATATCGTAGGTCTAATTGAGACTTTTTGTACAAACGATGTTGATCTGGACATTTTAGAAAATTATATCCTGTTTACAAGTCACGCTACTCGGCATAATATTAGAGGAAGACCTAGTGGAGGCGTGGCACTGTATGTGAAAAAATGCCTAGCTGGAAATATTACCAAAATCCAATGCGATTTAGAAAATTGTATTTTTATCCGTTTTGATGAGTCGGTATTATCTGTGGACAAGGATCTTCTGTTTGGTTGCTGTTATATTCGCCCCGAAAATGCTTCTCAATATATCGATAAACTAAATGGAAAAGTAGCAGAGTATATTTCAGGAAACCCAGAGTTGTATATTATGTTAATGGGTGATTTTAATGCCAGAACAGGTATCATTGCTGACTATATTGCGGATGACTCGATTTCTTATCTTCCTATTGAAAACACTGTTTACAATGCAGACAATTTTCGCATGCCACGCTCGTCAAATGACAAAGTGGAAAATGCGCAAGGTGTATCTTTAA